TTATTATTATTATTATTATTATTATTATTACAGTGTATTCATGTTCAGTTGACCTGATTTCTCATCTTACCAGTGCTGACCAATTACAAAATAAGATAAAAATGAAAACATTATACATGTAATTATAATATATCCTTATTGAAAAGTTTACAGTTCAGTAAATGTAAAATCTAACAAAGTTATTTTTGGTAATCTTAAACAAAAAATGAATTTGTATTACTGTAAATGCATCAATTATTCACTGGGTTTTAATTTCGTTATTTTCACTGATAAGAAAATCCGCATGTAAACATGTAAAATAACAATAAATGTCATTGTTTCCTTTACAAATTCGTGAAATTCAATATGCTCAAATCGTTGAAATAGTGAAAATGTCAATGAGTAATAAATGTTTTTATAGTATTTATTGTGGTTTGCAGGTCATTATGCGGTATTGAGTTCATCTTTGATCCAGAACTCCACCATAGCGCATGTTATCAGTCCCAATTACACACAAAGCGGGCCACAGTGTATATTACAGTTCTATTACCAATTCAGTGGTGAGGCGGCTGTTGATTTCAGAGTATATGTTAGAATGCCCAGCAAAAAAGATGTGTTATTGTGGAGCTTTGATACAGAATCAGGAACCAGGTAATTATGCACATCACCTATACTGTGTACACTGACACCATTTTCAAATGCATTTTTTTTTTTGTTATGCAATTGGGATGCCTGTCGTTCTATTGTTCTATTGTTTTTTACTTCTTGTTGAAAACAGCAAGTCCCATTGCTTTGATACTATACATATTGTTCATTTTCTAATGATATCTTATGTTCTATAATTGGAATGTGCATTGCTAACAGCGGAGCTATCTCAGCCGACCGGCTGCTTGTTTTTCAGAATTAATTGCATAAAACCACACTGAATGATATTAAATTAACACCTCCCAGTTTACCTTCACAACAAACTGTGTAATGTTAAATATTTATTGTAGATCAAAAACAAAATTTTTGTCTAAATTGGTGTAACTTTTCTGAATTAAAATTGCAAAATTTTTGCTTTGACTGTATGTACCGGTAATGATGGAACCCTTACCTATTCAGCATGTCGTCAATAATTAATAATAATTAACCAATAATTAGTCCCCTATTTGAAAGTGAACATGTTCATTTTATGACTGCATATTTATCCATAATGGAATGAAATAATGGCTTACAGGCGGCATTATTTAAATTTTAAATTTCTTCTTGGATATTTTGATGTTTAGACTTTTATGACGCTATACATCATTTAACTTAGATTTCTCATTTCCCACATGTAGCTAGGTAGTTCATAAGCTCCTAAAAGATCAAAAGATTTAATTTTTCAATGATGAATGAATTTTTTAAATCTTTTAAAGTAGTGATCAGAATAATAATAAACACTGAGGAGGATTTTTTTTTTCCAGCTGAGATAATGTTTTGATTATATTTGATCTCAATTTAAGATTGAATGCTACACAAAAGTAAAAAAATTTTCTGTTATTTTTACAAATTTGATGTATTACCACCAGTATGTTACAAGGATGAAGAAAATAAAATACAGTAAAATACAGTGAAAATAGCATGTTTTGTCTGTATTAGGACATTTCAGCATTGTTTCCTATGTCAAGGATATATCTCAAAATTTTGCTCAGTGACATATGGTAAAAAAAGATGCAAGGTACTTTTTGATGTCTAGAAGTGGGTTTTTAATGAGGAATATTGTTTTGTTTTCATCGTGGTCTTTGGAAACCGCTGTTAAAATTACATTTATGCATATTATTAGTCCCCGTTCGGACGTAGTCCAAAAACGGGGACTTATGTTTTGCCCTGTGTGCGTCCGTGCGTGCGTCCGTAATCACCTGTATCTCGAACATGCACGAACCGATTAAGTTCAAACTTCACTCATACATCACACATTATATGGGACACATGCACATGCATTTGTCACAAATATGTATGTGCATTTGTTTCATGATCCGATTAACGATAGCCGAATAGCGGCCATTTTAAGGCCGAAAATGCATCAAAATCGCACATTTTCACAATTTCGGACCCGGATCTCAGTTATGCATGGACGGATTTCATTCAAATTTGGTACATACATTAAACATAATAGGACCTTGATGCACGTCATTTTTTTTTTCGGATCAAGTTCGAAATGACCGACTGCTGGCCATTTTGTTTTAAAGAATTCAGTTCTGGATCCGTATCCGAGACATGTCTGGATTGATCAAGTTCAAACTTCACACACACAAGGTACATCATGTCACAAATATGTATGTGCATTTGTTTCATGATCCTATTAACGATAGCCAAATGGCGGCCGCTTTAAGGCCGAAAATGCATTGAAATCGCACATTTTCACCATTCCGGACCCAGATCTCAGTTATGCATGGACGGATTTCATTCAAATTTGGTACATACATTAAACATAATAGGACCTTGATGCACGTCATTTTTTTTTTTCGGATCAAGTTCGAAATGGCCGACTGGCGACCATTTTGTTTTAAAGAATTCAGTTCTGGATCCGTATCCGAGACATGTCTGGATTGATCAAGTTCAAACTTCACACACACAAGGTACATCATGTCACAAATATGTATGTGCATTTGTTTCATGATCTTATTAACGATAGCCAAATGCCGGTCGCTTTAACGCCGAAAATGCATTGAAATCGCACATTTTCACCATTCCGAACCCGGATCTCAGTATGCATGACGGATTTCGTTCAATTTGGTACTTAC